GTCCACTGAGAGCACAAAGCTCTCGAGAGAATTTTATTACTGCAGTATTCTTGGCTTAGGGTTCGGCGGCCAGACCCTCTGCACTTTATACAAAAACAAAGTAAACCTTACTCCATGAACCGACTACGTACATGGGAAAGGTAAATTACGAAGTGACCCCTATATAATTAACAAGTAGCATAGGGAGTCACAACAACCCTAACTCCTAGTTGTCTACGATAGAAGGAGTAGGGTTGCTTTGCTTCTGTATAAATGGGTTGTATGGGTGCAGCCGAACACTAAGAAAGAAAATCAATCAATAAAATAACTTCGAGAGCTCTTAGATCTCCGTGGACTAGTTCCGATCATATTGATCAGGAAAATCAAGTAAATCGGTCTCGTGTTGTTTTCCGTTTCTTTGAATTTTTACAATAATCTGCACTTGGACGTGCCTACTTAATAATTATCTACCATGTACTTATTAGTTTATATCTGCATCGCGTTACAACTTGACATAGTTTATTGTTGGCAAAATACACTTGTATAGCCATAACTTTGCACTTTGTGACAATAATAGCCAAATTTTAAAAAATACACAGATATAGCCACATTTTGAAAAGTAGTTTGACAAATTTAGCCCATTTCCGTTAAAATCTTTAACACCGTTAATGAGTTTGTCAGTTAAGTGAACGTTACGCCGAGGTGGATGCCACCTCAGCTCACACATCAGCTCCAACAAGACACACCATGCCACCTGGATGCCACGTCATATTTTAATTGAAAAAATTCATAAATTAAATTTATTAAATTTATTTTATTTAAAAAATTCATTAGTACGGAGATCTCTTATTCGCTTCCCTTCCCTCTTCCTTTCTTCTCCCTCTCTCTCAAATCTCCGGCCATATCTACAAATACAATGCATCCCCGCCGTTGCCATTTTGTTGTTGTCGCAGAAGTCGTCCGTCTCAACTACCACCAGTGTTGCCGCTCGCATCCTCAGAACCCGATCATGGCGCCGGAATCGGCATCGGCTCCTACGCTCATCCTTCAATTTCTCTTCCCCGAACACCTTTCATCTTCCCCGTCGACAAGAAGGAGCGACGGGAGGCAAGTAGCATAGAAGGCAGCTGGCTACGAGGGGAACCACGAGGAAGATCGGCGCTGTCTTCGGCCTTCTTCAACGACGATGGGTGACCATTCATAGGGTCTTGCGGTGGTGGATTTTGAAATCCCCAATCTAGGAACCCTAATTGTTCCGTCGAGAAATCCCTAATCTGCCAATCATAATTGCTTCGTTTGTGTCTATGGTTCTAGTTTGAGTAACGATCGCTAAAAAATTGACCTCGCCATTTACGACCTCCAAACCTGCCATCAATTTTTCATCTCCCTCCTCGACGGCGGGGCCAATCTCCCGAGCATATCAGTTCACCAACTCTGCGTCGCCCGCGACTAGTTGTGCAGCGAGTTGAGCTGGGATACTTGTTCGTAGTGCTAAGAAGGGTTCACGGCGGCGGTGATTGATTTCCTAGAGCTAGAGGGGAGGGAAGGGAAGGTTTTGCGACGGCGATGGCGATGGAAGGGGTACACAGAGAGAGTTGGAGGAAGGTGAAAAGGTGCGGTGGAGAGATGATGTTCTTTTAACTTTTTTATTTAATTTAATTAAAACAGAAGGAAAGAAATATAAATAGGCTATTATATTGTTGCCATTGGCGGGGTGGACAAAAAAGATGCCACATCAACTAAATCGTTAGTCTAGTCAGCTTTTTATTAAAGTTATTAACGGAATGGCTATTTTAGTGTATTTATCAAAATTTGGCTATTATTATCACAAAGTGCAAAGTTATGGCTATTCAGGTGTATTTTGCCTTTATTGTTTTCCCTTAGATCCTCGACTGCAGTATCCGCACCAAGAAGCGACAGCGGGTTGTCTATCCTGTGCTCAATTGGACCACATGTTATTTATCAAATAACTAATTAACAGGACCAAGACGATCACGATGATACTGAATCTTAAATGGGATCTCATCTTCCTATTAAGTATCGAGTAACTAAGGACCACAAAACGGTACTGTATGTGTAAACTATGTATCTATTGTGCTTAAGTTTGACTTCGTTGAAAATTGGTAATCCATTCATGAAAAATTATATAATCCCACGGGGACTGGATATGGTTTCTCTACGGCTCAAGATAGGGTGCATAACCATGGGTTATGCACCCATCAATAACCAAATCTGGACCCTTCATTTAGAAAATCCAGATCTAAGGATGGAGAATTAAAGGTTATTTTTATTTTCACTAGCTTTCTTAATTGACTCATATCTTTTTCGTTTTAACTCGGATTTTAATTTTTTTTGCACAGATGGAACGAGTTCACCGTGCTCTACAAAATGAGATCAATTTTCAATATTTTTTGAGGAAAAAAAAATTCTGGCCTCTCGGTACCAACTGTATACCATATGGTATCTTCTTCGTTTTTAATTCGTTTTTGAAAACGTTTGCACAGCAGGGACGAGTTCATCATGATCTACTGGATCTACAAATTTCTGGGTGAACAAATTACAGGACCAAAAATTACCACACAATACCATACAATACCACCCTGGTACGGGGTGGTATTGTATGGTATCTTCTTCGTTTTTAATTCGTTTTTGAAAACGTTTGCACAGAAGGGACGAGTTCATCATGATCTATTGGATCTACAAATTTCTGGGTGAACAAATTACAGGACCAAAAAATACCACACAATACCATACAATACCACCCTGGTACGGGGTGGTATTGTGTTGTATACAATGTTAAAAGTCGTAAATTACAATTAATATGCTTCTACTATCATGTATTCAACCATCCTACAGTTTGGTTTGTTCATACCACCATGGTACGTTTTTCAAAACATAGGTATGTTTTTATTTCAATACCAGTCAATACCATATGGTATAGGCTGGTAAAAAATGGCTCAATTTTTTTTTGTTCGAAAAATATATTAAAGTGGATATCATTTTGCATAGCACAATTAATCTGATCTAACTGTGCAAAAAAAATTAAATTTCGACTTAAAATGAGCGAGAAATCGTCCGTCAAAGATTAAAGAGAGAAAAATTAAAGACTTTCTATGAGAGAGAGGATGCTGATGTCATGCTGATGTTGACAGGTTACTCATGGTTACTCACCATAAGGTTACTGACCTGATCCATTCCCTTTCTCTACATAGTGTGAGTCCAGTGACAACAAATTAGGACAGATTGTGTAGTTTTTCTTATAAACAATAATTCATATTACTTACTTTGTTTGCGAAATTAAATAGTTCTCTCTCTCTCCTTATCTTCGATTTCTTTCTAACCCTCTCTCTCGGCAGCCACTGGCTCTCTGCCTTCCTAGTCCTACGATTACCTCCATCTCATTAGTTCTTTCGCTCACCTAATATAACTAGTACAAATCCAAAAAATCATAACAAATACAAAAATAAATTAATTAATTAATACCCTTAAGAAAAATAATGCTAATACAGAAAAAAAAAGTCAATATCATTACAAACAAGAAGGAGCAAAAACTAATACTAATATCAATGTAACTAAAACAAAAGCAGTACCTGGGCCACTGATTTTGTAAGAATCTCTTTGGCAGCGTTTGCGAGTTACGTACTCTTCCACAATTTAACCTTCTTTTTCTCACCCTGTCCATCAAGTAGGTAAAAGACAGATTTCTTCTCACTTCCAATTATAGTTGGAAACCCCCAAATACATTTCATGAGCATCAAACCTCTTCATTCCCATAATTCCTATAAGGCTCGTTTCCTTTAGTCATCCACATTATGTGTGAAAGACACTTCACAATTCAAAATATTCACTTGACGGTATGTTTCTGACTCATAGATAGATAGAATTTCCTTTAGTTTTGAGCATTCTGCTTGCGTTGTTCTAACCAAAAAAAAAAAAAAAAAACAATGCTATCATCATCTGTGAATAGCAAATGTGAAACAGATGGTGCACCGTGCACCCCCTTTGACTTTCATGTCCTTATTATAGCCTTCTCTTTCTGCTATTGATGTTAGGGCTAGGGATGATAATCCCTCAGCTATCAGTTTGGCAAGGAGAAATCGTCCCCTTGCCTAAGCCTTATTTATGGTAAAAAAAAAAAAGTAGAGGACCGATGGTCATTCACTAATACAATATATGTTACTGTACAGACACAATGCATTATTAGTTTAATCCATCGTTGTTCGAAGCCTAGCTTTTTCATAATGGCGTGAGGAAAATGTCACTCTACCCGATCATTAGACCTTAGTTATGTCAAGTTTTGCAGCAATATAACAAATTCGATTTTTTTTAATGTTTTTCATGGCATGAAAGCATTCAAAATCCACCAATAAATTATCGGTAATGTCTTCTCCTGGACCAAAAAACACTTTGGTTCTCAACTACTACTTGATTTAGATTTTTTTCCCTTAAATCTATTAGCTAGAACCTTTGACAATATTCTATAGAGCACTTTGCACAAATTAATAGGGCAGAAAACAATCAGTTTAATCTGAAAAGATAAAACCTATTAAAATTAATTGGAGAAAAATTATATGTTTCTCATAAACGGTTGATGAGGGTTAGTGATTGTTATACAAAAAATGAGTTACTAACAAGAACTACTTCCCTCAACTATCGATATCTACCCCATAGAAGAAAAAAAAGGAAAATGTCTTACTTAATTTTCTTAAGGTAGAATCATAACTCATAAGGGAAAGTGCTGGTATTCGTCCTGCCATGTATGTATAAATAGTTGGGACTTGGGAGCCCAGCCCACCACCGCAACTCAGCAGTAGTGCCAATACCTCATACACAGTTTTCCCACAGCAAAAACATCGACAGAGCAGGAGAGAAAGTTTGGTGATCAGTCAGATAGAAAATAACAATCGATGGCGTCTTTGCCAAAGTATGTAGTGCTCAAAAAGCAAGACACGAACTCTACACCAGCTGCTTACCTCCATTTCATCTGGAACAACATTGACTTCGCCAACTACTACCAGGGCATGGGCTGCCCCCGTGAACTCGACGTGGTGAGCCCATTCGTGAAGCTGGAAGTCGTCCCTTCAACCTCCAACCCAGGCAAAATCCACCTCCTCTGCTCCTACAACAACAAGTACCTAGAGGTGGCGCGCCACAGAAGCGACACCAATGTCCTCTACGTCTCCGCCACGGCCGACCGCTCCGTCGAAGACCTCAACCTCTCCACTTCCACGCTGTTCACCACCAAGATGAACCTTCCTAAAGGTGGAGTGGCCTTCTACCACGACGCCAGCCGAGCGCACGTTGAGATCGACCCGACCAACGGCGTCGCCATTGTGAGCTCCCCGACTATGATGCAAGTGTTTGACTTCTCCCCCTGGGAGTCTTACCCGGAGAAGGTGGGCCCCAAGAACGAGGAGATCAGGAGGCTTGGTGACGCGCTGGCGCGGTTCACGGAGAGTAGTGATGGCGGCGAGAGCATCAGCCCGGCCGTGTTGATTCGTGAGCTGAGGCAGGTGATTGCCGAGCAGGACAGGCAGTTGGAGGAGTTGTACGACCAGATTGGTGGCGGTGGCGGTGGTCGGAAGCCTGTGGTGAAACCCGCCGTGGCTGCCGGCTCCGCCAACTGATGATCGAGGTTATCAATATCCTCGTTTGGGCGCACAACTTAGCCAGCTGGTTACTAGCTAGCTACTACTTTGTTTTTTTCCTTCTTCTTCTTGCATGTCAAGTAAGTGTCAAAATAATAATGTGGGGGGAGCGAGCAGGATCCGTGGCCTTGGAGCTAGCTAGCTAGTTACCCCATGAATAATTGTTGAGTTTTCCAGGTTGTAATTAATTAGTCAGTAAATTTCAGTGTCGTTTCACGAACAAGGGATTGGTCTAGTGGTAATACCACTAGTCATGAACCTGGAGGTCCCAGGTTCGAGTCCCTTTAGTAGTACCTAATAACAAAACAAAAAAAAAACATATATCACCCTTATCTAAAAAAAAAAAAATTCAGTGTCGTTTCAAATTTTTTATGGTGATAATTCATTGAAAGGGAAATATGAGAAAGATCTTACGTAGGGTTTTTCACAAATATGGATAGTAGCGAAGTAAAAAATTTAGACTGAGATTATCAAATAGGAATATTATTCAAGATTGATAAAATAAAATAAAAAAACAGAACATTTTTTTACATATAATTCACCTGCTGCTTTCATTAAAATAAATGAAGGACCAAAAAACCAGTCTCGTCGTTCTTATACAAGACATGAAACAAATGCAGGGGTGACCTCTCTTCCCAAAAGAGGGTATGATTCCATGGACAAGGTAAATGAGCAAAATTGTTATTTTTTGCTTGGTGTGAAATCCCTATGAACGTAGCTAGCCTGGAGTCAACTAGGAATCAAGAGTACCTTAGCATCTAAAGAAGTTGTGTTGTATGTGGATCGAGCATGGGTCATGTGGTTTTATGATGCATGTGTTCCTTTGGATGCAATCAACTCTCCGATATTTAAAATTGCATTGGATGCTTCTTTGACTCTTGACCCTAGCTACAAAGGCCCTTCTTACTATGCTTTGAGGTTTTCATTGATGGATAGCGTTGTGAAAAAGTGTCATTTATTAATTGAGAATTTGAGATCTTATTGAAAAGAATTTTGGTGCACTATAATGACAGATAGTTGGACTGATAAGAGGTATAGAACTTTAATCAATTTCCACATTTATTCTCCTGCTGGGATGTGCTTTGTGAAACTTGTTGATGCATCTAGTATGGTGAAGATAGAAATAACTTGTTTAAGTTGTTCTGTGAGGTAATTGATTGGGTTAGGTCTAAGAATGTTGTGCATGTAGTGACTGATAATGCACCCAATTATAAATTAGCAGGGACGATGATATATGAGCACTATGGTAATATATATTGGAGTTCTTGTGAGAGACATTGGAGAAATGCCTATTGATATAGTTTTGCAGATTGAGCTACTAATATCTCTAAATTTGTTTAAAATCATGGTCCAATTTATTTCTTGTTGAGGACGAGGGAGAATTGGAAAGAAATAATGAAGCTTGGTGCTACTAGATTTGCAGCTACATTTCTGAGTTTGCAAAGTGTTCTTGCAGACAAGTTTGGTTAGGAGGCTATGGTGATAAGTGTTGGCAGTTCCTCTAGTGAAGCTGCTTCCAATTGTGGATTCGGATAGTAATCCTGCAATGGGGTATGTGTATGATGGGATGCTGAGGGTGTCGAATGCAATGATGAGTGTTTGTGGAAATATAAAGTAGACACGTATAAGCCATATATCGACATCATTAATAGGAGATGAGATAAGCATTTGAACACCGAGTTGTTTTTGGCATCATACTTTCTTAACCTTGTATTCAAGTATTATAGTGATTTTGCTTATTCAAGAATGGTTAGAAATGGAATTCTTGATCTCCTTGAGATTTCAGACTTTATGCCTCGATACAATTGTGGTAGTGGAGGAGATGAATCCATACGTTGATCGTTTAGGGGGCTTTGGGAGGAAGCTTGCAGTTGAGTCTGCACAAAAACAACAACTAGGTAATTGATATTACTTATATTGCTCAATTCATTCCAAATTTTGAGAAACTAACATACATGTTTAATTTGTAGATAAGTGGCGGAAGTGGTTTGGTATTGATACTCCAAATTTCCAGAAGTTGGCTATTCGACTCCTTAGCCAAATTGCTGCAACTTCTGGCTGTGAACGTAACTGGAGTGTTTTTGAACGTGTACACACCAAGAGAAGGAACAAATTGATCCATAAAATGCTTAGTGACTTGGTCTTTGTCAATTACAACCTGCGATTGCAGAATATGTATGATTTTGTGTTTTATGCAAATTATGTGTAAGTTGAGTTGTTTGAATATTGTATTGTCTTTTACTTTTGTAACTCATTTTTGGTTGAATCTTTTTACGTTGTACCTTGATTAGGGAGTATTATAGCAAGAAGAACATAGATTTTTTATGATCCCATAAGTACCGCATGCATTGAATCTACTAGTCTTGTTAGAAGATCAAGATTCATCTTCTAGAGAAATGAAATTGGATGCTGATGAGCTAGATAGAACACTAGAAGAGCAAGGTTTGTGTGTGAAATGTGAATTTAGTTATTTTTTATAGGTATGTAATAATTTATAAAGATTCTTACTTTTTGATTTCGTATTGTAGTTGGTGCATTCAAATAATGAAGAAGATGAAGCCGGCGAGGATGACATTGTGAATTTCTCAAGTAGTGGTTTGTAGTTTGGTAGTTATGAACTATTCAATTTTCATATGTTAACTTGGTTTGGTAGTTGCGGAGTTCTTTTTAACAGTGCAATTGGATGATGTGGTTGATTAAATGCTTTAATTTGATACTTTGTCGTTGACTAATTTATTATTTGAAGACATCTTAATTAATTATTTGCCTATTTGTTATCATTTATGATTACGGTACAATGTCGGTATTACTTGGGTACGGTAGACTATTTTTGCTGGTACGTTATTTTCACAAATATGATTTTTTTATATTAAAAATAGTAGTTTATCGGTATGAATTGGATGAACCACGATCGTAACACAGATTACCGTCCAACAAATATTTCCGGTACATCCTCCGGTACAGTATGTTAATCCTTGATAAGTTGATATATACAATCATTTTACGATATGATATATTCATATTATAATTTATCATATTATAGAGCGATGAGTAATAATATATACCATAAAAACAAAATTTCCAAAATCAGAAAGTATGATTAATCTGATTTTCAATAATAATATATACCAATATGCTTTTATCAAAGGACGTAGTATTCTTGAGAACATACTTATGGCTCGGGAGATGGTTTGGAAGTACAATCAGAGAAATGTTGCTTTCAGATGTGCTATTAAGATTGATCTGCATAAGACATTAAGACCTTTGATTCGGTGGATTGGCAGTATCTGGTTTTGGTAATGAAATTGATAAATTTCCTTGACAATTTTCTGAAGTGGGTTAGGGTTTGCTTAGAGTCTGCCTTATTTAGCATTAGTATCCATGGTTCTCTATTTGGTTACTTCCCACCTAAGAAAGGGGTACACCAGGGAGACCCCTTATCCCCATGGCAAGACTTGTTCTTGCAACTGAAGTGGGATATCCAGCTTTATGCAGTTGGCAATCCTGAGTTTTATATAGAATTGCAAAGAGTTGATGTTTTTAGATGTTTGTTAGAAGTGAGCTGATGTATTTACTTTGTAGACATTTGTCTTTGTTTTTTCAGGACGCTTGATCGATTTGATCAAGGGGCAAAAAAATATTGCTTAATAAATATAATAAGAGAAAATTATACGTGATCAGTAGCCAACGTGTTTACCGACTAGATCTGGACCCTGTTTCACGTGATTAACAGAGTCAATGACGACAAACAGTTTCACCAACCGACAACTTACGTAGGAATTTTTCCCCCATGAATATTTAATCCAGCTCCTTTGAAATATATAATAAACCCACTATGGAACGCGATAGAAAGAAGGAAATAAATACCAAAACTTCAGATCTACTTCAGCCTTCAATGCAAGGTGGACTATCCTGGATATAGCCGGTTACCCCGTGATTCAAGCTTTGTGGGTATTAGATTTATTTAAATAAATGCAAATTGTTTCGAGCGAAAGTAATTGTTTATAGCTAGTGGCCTGATCAACAATAAATGTCATACGTGCATATCTTTTCGAGAAAAGGATTGCTTATAGAGAAAACTATTTCAAGGCATGATTGTATTTTGTTTTTGACAATAATATTAAGACATAATTGATAGTTTACTACGTTTTATCAAATATTATTTTGGATTTTTAGTAAACACAACAACTTTCTGATCAAAAAATTATCGCTATGGTCCTACTACTCCCACACAGGTTTATTTTATAGTGTATCATGACGCTTTTTCGAATGGTCACCAAACTTTGCACTTCTCCACTTTGGTCATCTTTAACTTTTGATTTATTATACAAATTTTTCATTTCACCTGAAAACATCACTTAATAAGGTGTATCATTCCTTATGAAACACAAAGTTATGTTGTGTTTTGTCTATGAAATTTGTCTAAAGTGTTACATTACCAGATAAAATAGCTACTATACCACTAAAGTTTTCAAATTCGGGAATTTATACCACTAAAATGGCTACCCTACCACCTTTGGCGCACAACATCCTCAAGAGGTTTGCAACAACATCATTCTAAGGTGTTACATTACCGATAGAAAATATGTCATAACTACCGTCTTTTTTAGCTAGTATCAAAGTTCGGTTTAATGTGGTTCATCCTCACATTTTATGAGACTTATATCCACGAAAAAAAATTATTTTATTAAGTTATTCGACCATATGCCTTACATACATATGGAATAGCTTGCATTACAATTTTCCTCAATCACGTTGGTGTAAAAGAAATCAAGGCGAAAAACTTAGGGTTCTAGGAGACGAAATGTGAGAGGGAGAGTACAGACACGATGACACAGAAATGCGAACAAGACAGACAAGCAAACAAGGCTTTCTGGCTTTCAGTTTCTGATTGGGCTTATGGCATAAAAGGCCCAAATACTAAGGCACAAGGCCTGGTAACAAAGAATAGAAGAATGAAGCCCAAAGTGTATAAACTT